GCCACACACACACTTGAGAGCATGTTTCTTTAAAAATATATTTTTTTATTGATTTCAGAGAGGAAGGGAGATGGGGAGAGTGACAGAAACATCAATGATGAGAGAGACTCATTGATCGGCTCCTGCATGCCCCACACCAGGAATCAAACCATGACCTCCTGGTTCATAGGTTGATTCTCAACCAGCCAGCCATGCTGGCCAGGTGAGAGCATGTTTCCTAAAAGGACAAGACCTGGGTCCTCGGAGTTGGTGGGAGGTTGGACTGCCAGGCCAGGGAAGATGTGGAATTCAGCGGCTTAGCCACCTGCTCTGGGTTTTCCTGTCAGAAGGGGCTGATCTCAGGGCCCGATGAGTAGGGCAATACAGTTCATTTCCTCCCTCTCCCTTGCTCTCCTCTTGATTAGGGTCCACAGTCCACAGTCTAAGTAACTGAGCAAGCAAAATTAAGACCACTGCTGCCTACCCACACCTGCCCCAGGTCACTTCTCCCACCCATGACTGCAACCAGCATGTTCCCAGGACTGGGAGAAATAAGGAGCTTTTCCCTGGAAAAGGGAAGGTAGGTGAGATCTGTTTTGAAGATAAATATAACATGCCAGAAACTGCTGGAGTGACCAGACTGGACTATTTCACAAGCCTCACACCTTACCATCTTTAGGTTCAGTCTGCCATTAAGACGATAGGTAAGCAAACACAAAATGGAGGACGCAAAATCAAAGAGCATTCTAAACATCGGCCAATGATGTGAGGGGCTGAATGGAGAGTGTTTTTACAGGTATGTGTACGTACCCTCTGCATATATGGGGGTTACATGTGGTTATATAAATAAGGGGTGTGCAGGTACCTTCCTGTAATGTCTGTGTGTGGACAAACAGATGCGTATGTGAGTTTTTGTGGCCAAAGGATGCCCCGGTACCTAGCACAGTGCCTGGCACGTAAGACTCATCACCTATGTGGAAACAGAATGAAAGAAAGAATAACTGTGTTTTGGGGGGAGGGGGCAAAGATGGGGTCTGTGCATTGCATCTTGTGTGGAGAGGGTCCAGAGGAACAGGTATGTCTGGGGTGGTGGGTGGGCATAGCCGAGAAGTAATTGTATGAACGATGTGGGAACAGATTAGGGGAGCATGCGTGAGTGGAGTGAACCCGAAGCCCAACCCAGTGTGGAGACCCAGGAAAATTTTAGCCATAGAGGACACCCTGCCAGCCCCTGGGCTTTGCAGGAGTTGGATGCTACTCCAGGCAACTGCCTGAAAGTTAGAGCCTTCAGAAACTCACAAGTCCTGGCAACATTTCATGCCAATTCCACTTTCCACAGCATTAGGCTGAGGCTTTT